GAGTCGACGAGGTAAAATTTTCCTACACTTATACGTATATTAATTAACAAATAAGCGTACGGATGAAGTATTTGAAATGTCAGTGTACATATAAAAAATCATTGTAGGCGGACCTGGTGGCGGTGTCAGAAATCTTTTGTTCGTGGATTCTAAGGCGGCAGCCAGTACTCTCGCATCATGTGCGGAACCCTCCCATCCAGATAACATGTACGTAAATTTCATATCAAAAGAGTACACGGCATGCACATTAAGTGAAAAGAACCCTTCCTATTTCTGTAAAGTTCAGCAGTTTCATGAGGGGGAACACATGAGACGTGAGTACCGTCAAGTGCTCCAACACAATCCTTCATAGTTTACAAGAGTTATGTTGGTTATATTAAACAACGTAATAATTTTTAGAAAGCATTATAAACCGCATTAAAATTTAGATGTGGCTAATTAATGTAGATTACCGAACTTACATCGAACCACGGCGAGTATTTGTTTCCACTTGCAATTATGTGCGGGTCAACGGTTTCAAAATCTGGATGTCTAATGAAGTCCTTCTTCAATGTGCATACCGCCTCAAGAACTTTGGTGAAGTACTCAGACACCGTTGATCCAGATCACTGCCAAGTGTCTTGCGCCTCCCTGTTAGTTTGGTTCTGACATAATATAGTTAGGAATATGAATAATTGCTCATCAACATTTAGGTGGGCGGTCGGTTGCAATAAGCCCCTTTCCTCAAGGATAAAACTTAGGCGCAAGAATGCATCACTACTCATACGGACTTTGTCATACATCACTGTTGGACTACGTTCCAGATAATAATTCACTCTAAGTGCGCCTCCCCAACCAGAAGTGTGCCTTCGGCGAGAAGGTTCTCTGTATACAAATCCAACACATAGCATAGTCGCCGCAACCACCACTTGCATGAAAAAATCATCGTCACTGTCATAGTCTGATTCATCAGAACCCATTGGGTTTGAATTCCCACCTATATCCATCCCTGTCCAATTATTCCAAATAATGATGCAAAAAGTTTAAAAATACAAATCATATGCATAAAGTTAAAAACTACATATAAAACAACCCATGCCGAAATAAGTTTACATTAAGCGACAACTCCTCAACCAAATGTGTCGCAACCTAATAAGAATGACTCAATTAGTACTAATAACGACAAACAATGCAGGAAATAAAACCATAAACAAATCAATTTCGACAAGTCTCTATATGTTCGTAACAAGTAAAAGGAATGAAATGACATCATCACATGTGGGAAGAACCATCCCCTCCGCGTGGCATTGGATAGGGTGGTCTTGGGAACGGTGGCACGAACGGTTGAAATGGGGAAGTGGGTTGTCCGAATGTGTTGGCAGGTGTAGTGTTCGTGTGCACGGTCGGCTGAAAGAACGAGGGCATATGCATTTGTTGTGGTGGAGGAGGAGAGACTTGTTGGTTTGCACACTGCTCCATAGTCTGCTGAATCCACACAAGCCGATGGTGTTCTGGCATATGAAGGAATGGCTGGTGCCATCTAGGATTGGTAGCCATAAAGTTGAACATGAAGAGATATTGTTCTTGGGATATGTCCAACGTTCCCAATAAATCGAAGCATTGCACCTCAAGGTTTTCACTTTGCCCGGGCATGGTCGCAGATGCATTTATACCTCGAGACCGACTGCTTGTTTCTATCGAAGTTACAAGGTGATCCACAGCCTGCTCCATATAGCTAGGTGATATTGTACGAGAGTTACGAGTTGACCTTTTACGTATCAATCGTGATGGTGAGTGGACATGTTGTCGCAGATGCATTTATACCTCGAGACCGGCTTTCTCGGTGCATGCCATGTCGCCTATCTGCAGAAGGAACATCGTCACCGTCATTGAAACTCGTTGGTCCTCTCTCAATGGGGCTGCCGGACCCATGTTGTAGTGGAGCATCATCCTGACCATACTCAAATGCCCCATTTGCCCGTGTATTGGTGAACGCGCAATAATACAAATCGTAATCCAACAAGGGCTTCCTCCTCGCCCTTTCAACTTCGGGATGGCTCTGTAAATGGAGCAACAAATATTAATACAATTAGGAAATGGTTCTCTCACATACGTATTCAATATAAAATTCAGAAGTCGAAGATGATTACAAAAAAGTGGAACAAGTGATTTAAAGAAAAAGGAAATCCCCATACAAAGAAATCCTAACATGGGGTGACGGCTAAATGTTCATGATTCGAACTACTAGTTTTTCCTTTCAGGGGCTTTTTTCAGCATGTATATTGGAGACACACCTATGTCAGAGCAAACAAAAGAAGAAATAGGAAGAAATGTGGCTAATATAATTAGAAGGTGGTGAGAAAGTCCATGTCTGGTCTCCACGGCCTCACTATTCAAATGGGCTAGTGGTTGCTAATTCTATACTATTAATGTTAATGAAATCACAGAAGAAAAGAAAAAAAAAGCCTGCTCCATATAGCTAGGTGATATTGTACGAGAGTTACGAGTTGACCTTTTACGTATCAATCGTGATGGTGAGTGGACATGTTGTCGCAGATGCATTTATACCTCGAGACCGGCTTTCTCGGTGCATGCCATGTCGCCTATCTGCAGAAGGAACATCGTCACCGTCATTGAAACTCATTGGTCCTCTCTCAATGGGGCTGCCGGACCCATGTTGTGGTGGAGCATCATCCTGACCATACTCAAATGCCCCATTTGCCCGTGCGCAATAATACAAATCGTAATCCAACAAGGGCTTCCTCCTCGCCCTTTCAACTTCGGGATGGCTCTGTAAATGGAGCAACAAATATTAATACAATTAGGAAATGGTTCTCTCACATACGTATTCAATATAAAATTCAGAAGTCGAAGATGATTACAAAAAAGTGGAACAAGTGATTTAAAGAAAAAGGAAATCCCCATACAAAGAAATCCTAACATGGGGTGACGGCTAAATGTTCATGATTCGAACTACTAGTTTTTCCTTTCAGGGGCTTTTTTCAGCATGTATATTGGAGACACACCTATGTCAGAGCAAACAAAAGAAGAAATAGGAAGAAATGTGGCTAATATAATTAGAAGGTGGTGAGAAAGTCCATGTCTGGTCTCCACGGCCTCACTATTCAAATGGGCTAGTGGTTGCTAATTCTATACTATTAAGGTTAATGAAATCACAGAAGAAAAGAAAAAAAA